GAGCATTTCGTGAATGGCAGGTGCCATGTTTGTATCGGAAGTTTCCGAACGACGGGCGACTAGGGTGCGGGCATGTCCCACCAAGCTCTGTGCCACCACAGTCGGCTCAAAAAAGGTCGTGGAGACGTTGACCACCTGGAACACCTGACCGTTGGCGTCTATCAGGTCATACATGTCTCGCACCATGTTGTGACCGAATCGGAAAGCAGCAGAAGCGAACGAGTTAGAGATGCTGGGATCTATGTTCGGGTCATAATAGTTGGAGAATCCGGACTGCAGAGGCAGAAGACCGTGCGCATCGGCATACTCGAAGCCGACGACAATCGGCAGCCATTCGTTGTAGAGGATGTGCTGCCATTCGGCCGCCACAATTCGTCTGGCGTTCTGGAACAGGCGCTCGTCGTCCCAGAAGGGGTGGACGTTCTTGAGCCCGCGTGCGATCCGGTTGTGCTCGCGCACGAACACCGTGTGCATGACGGCCAGACCACTCTGCTCGTTCACGCGCGTTTCGCCAGCTCGGAAGCAGATGGAAGCACGACACGGTCTGTCCGAGACATCTGCACCCGTCAATGGCAGCAGCTCACCCGGACTGGTAAGCATCAAGCCGTCCTGGAAGGCGCGTATCGCATTCAGCTCCTCCACTTGGCTGCCGTATATGTTGGACGCGTCCAGGAAGGAGCTGAGTTCGTTGAGCGGTTGGCCTGGCCTCGAGATGCAGTCTGGCAGCGGCGCCGGCAGGGATCTCACCAGACTCATGCAGCGTTGGCCGAACTGGCTGTAGAACGGGTCATCGGCCGGAATGGGGATGGGGATGCACTGGGGGTGCCGGGGCACCGTCGGGAATGTCTGACCGTCGTTCTCGCAGCACTCGATGCCGTTGCCAGAATTAAGACGGAACACCAATGCGTGCGACAGATCGTGGTCGACGAACTGGCTGAACTGCATCAGCGACAGTGTGAAATCATTAAGCTCGTTGGACAACGTATCCAGCACGCGCTCGCTCACCAGCCGCGCACTGGGCAGTGTGCCGCCGCGGACTGCTCCCGTTCGCATGGCGAACAGACCGTCGTCGTACGTGTTGGGGAGAAGTCGCTTGAGACCGGTCAGTGCTCGACCGAGCCGCGGCCGCTGCAGATTGTTGCACTCGCCGGTTAGGGTGCGGTAAATACTGTTGTCGCACCTGACGGGTCCTTCGGGGGTGCAGTTTGGCACTTGCAACGGCGATTGGCCGCCACCACCGCTGCTACCAACGCTACTAGTACCGGCGGACTGGGCGCCTAACCCCTGCACTGGCTCGATGCGGCCCCCGAGCTGGCTCTGCAGGTTGCTCAACGACGTGAGCGACTGAAGCCCCTGCAGTCCCAGGTTCTGCTCCAGATCGCTAGACTGAGCGTTTAGGAAGAACAGCGCCGTCGGGCTGTTTACGTTGGGCGCCTGGCCGGTGTTAAGCAGTTGAGAAGTGGTGGAGGTGAGGCTGTTGACCGCCTGGAGGCCAGCCTGCCCCGCCTGGAACAGTGCTCCCTGCGACAGCCCATCAGCTACGAACGCACTGTCAGCGGAGCTGGTCGTGCTGGACGGCATCGGTCGAATCTGGTCCAGTGCAGAGCGCGCGCCATCGGTCCCCATCTGCCGCTGCTGAAGTAGGTCCCCGCCAGAAACCTGCTGTCTCTGGAGCCCACTGGTCGCTAGCTGCGGCCCAGCGAATGTACAGACGGTGCCGGGAGAGCCGTCGCGTAGCCGGCAGCCGTTTCGCAGCAGGTTGGAGGGCGAGACTGCCGTTGGCGGGCATAGCACCAACGGAATACACTGAACTTGGCTGACTGGACGCGGCCTTCCGCCGCCGCGTGGCGGGGCCCCATACAGTCTGCCGCCAGGTGGCAAGGCCCCCTGACTGACAGCAGGGAAGGTGATAGGCCTTTGCTTGGTGGTGGAGCTTCTGCCAGTGAAAGTAAAAGAGGATGACTGGCCGCAACAAACACCCAGGGTTCGGTCTTGCAGCCAGCACTGCTGTACATTCCTTTGTCGGTACGCTCCAGTGCAGAAGGCTCGTGGCCGGCAGTCGCATTGGGCGCTGGTCCGGCTGACGGAGACGCACAAGGCGGCCACCAACAAAACCTGAAACATTCCGCATAAGCAGTCTGCGTGCACCTCCAGGTGATCTGTCGACTGCGTACAGACCAGAGTGATTAGTTGGCCCATGAGTGCAGCGTTGCGAAGTGATCCCAGCGAAGGTCGCCCGCAGTTGGCGCCATGTGACAGCATGCAGCGTTTTGATGTAGGCGACCCCTCTACCTTTCCGCCAGTTTCGGGTCTGTACCCACGCGGCGCAGGTACCGGTGTATTCGATCATGGACCCTGCCCGGGCTTGCGACCACCTGGTCGGCCGCCACCAGCTGGTTGATGGCATGAGTCGCGCCGTGCATTTTTGCGCGCTATTCATGCTCTGTGCGGGACCTAGGGCAGCTTTTCTTCTTTCGACAAGCTCGTCGATGAACATAATCCTCTCGCACAACATGAGAATAGCAGTAGTGTGCTTGCAATCGTCGAATTTCCGAATCGTCTTGTCATGGCAAGAACACAAGCATTAAGCTTCTTAGCACGAAGGCCCTGATAAGATTTAGACATTTGTAATTAAATTTGAAAACGTCCTGATCATCAACCATCTTAAAGTGGACACCATACAACTTGATTGCGTAACATATTTGAAATGGTCCTAAGTTTAAATGACTTTGAAGGTGCACCGATTATATTAACACATTGCATGCGTTATAACATTGCTGTGGACAACACCAAGTCTTGACCTCACAGGAGCCTGACTCCGAATGAAACATTTGTTGTTACCCTTTCTGCGTGGACAATTAGTTTCATAGCACAATGTCTGTTAGGGTAATTTGCACTCGTACTCACCTTTTTTCTAAAGAAACCTCAAATTTTGGATGCCCTTCAGGAAATGCATTGGTCATTAATGGTGTTCAATTATCCTATTACCCATACCTTAAAAGTCAATAAACAAGAAGACGCGGGGATACAATGACTAAATGCGTCTCAGAATGCCAATGTCATGCATCCTTGCGATACAGACCGTCCAGAGCAGCTCTCAGAGCCACGTGACTCGCCACCGCAGTGTTATCAAACCGACGTCACTCGGCGGAGGCCTGGTGAAGAGAGCACGTGCGCGTTGGCAAAGTGCTGGTTGGCGATTTTTGCCGGTTACTCTTTTCTGAACTAGAAACACAGACCTGCCTGTCTTGACCGGGATCTTTGTGAGATTAATATCAGGTTTCAAACACTGAAACACCTTAAAGACCCGAAACACACAACGCAACGTGATGAATGCGCACTTCAAAAACCAGCCCCACCCAAGTATGTTGGTAGCATAACCACTCTACTGTGTGGTTTTCTTACTAGTCCTTGGGGTTCACACGTAAACGGCCTGCTTTTACAGAACTGTAAATTGAATTTGATCCGGTCAATTGGATTGAAACTGGCGCCAAACAAAAGATTGTTTAATGGCTCTGCGCCGATCCGCTGCCCATTTTTTTTCTAAAGAGGCCCAAACCCCACGATGTACCAGGTCAGAGTTTTATACACGGTACGCCATTAATTTTCCGACTTTCGTGGAATGTCCCGTACTCTCAGTGGCTAAATCGATGACAATTAAGAATCGAAAGGTGGGTGACGTCACTTCCCTATGGAATACAATAGCTTGTTAACCATCAGCCATCAGTGCCATGTAGTGCACAACTCGTTGAAAGTTTCTTGCAAAAGGTCTGGACAAACATTCATTAAAATGTTACATGTATTCACTACTGTGGCACCTGCACCACGTAACCGTCAGTTATCGGCACTCAACCAGTAAGCACAAACTAGAAATGCATCATGCATTGCATATATAGGATATGTTTAGTTTAATATTGCAATTTTTGGGTACTGAAATTCTTTGTACGTCTGCTATCCCCGTATTTATCACCCAGCTATGAACGACTGGACCATCTGAACACTGCCCATTAGATAGGTGCGTCAATAACCGGATCAAAAGCGGCTAGCTTTACCTTTTTAAGCCGGTGTGGAGTGCAGCATTCTGTGGTCTAGACCAAAGCTGTTTGGGCTATGCATACGTATCGTTCAAATATTGTGTCCAATATTAAAGGAAATGGTTCACATTGGAATATATTAAAGCAAGCATCAGATACGATAAAACAAGCTCATTTACCACTAGCGGCACGCTTTTTAAGTGGAAAAGACTGCTCTAGACAGCACAATTCCCTCTTTAGTAAATATGCTCTTCAATGCGTTATCGTTTCATTACATCATTGTACCTTGAACAACATTATTTGAGAGCCAACTGACGGTTGTTATAACTGGAAATCACGCTCACGTACGCCAGATATGAGAGCCCCTACAACTGAATTGTCTTGACTTGATCGCTGCATGGCTTACGAAATGGCAGGATTTGTATGGCATGAATTCATGAATACCAACGTAATTTTGAAATACTCTCCCCGATATCCCTTTTACCATTTTTGCTGGCGCATAGCTCAGAAACTAGAGGGGCTATGTCTTAAAGAGGGCAGGGTTGTGAACGGCACCAAAAGGTCTTTAAGATGACTATTTTAGTTCAAAACTCTATGTAAATGTGGAACACTCCCTAAAACGTATTAAACATAATGCAACCATATATATCAAACTTACTTACAAACCTTATTTCATGCGTCATTCAGTCTTCTCCGACGATGAGATGAGATTTCGAAACGCAAGAATGTATGGAGCGACACATATAGGAGGGGTTTTAAGCGCACCATCTTTAACCAAAATGATAATGCTAAGTCAAGAGCCCGGAAACTATAACGATGCATAATCAAGCTCGTGAATGCTCAGTCAGCGGTCATTTTTAACCGAACATGCATAAAAGAAAGAATTCTACCGAGACATTCCAATATATATGTATATATTATATTCATGCTACATGCATACATATATATATATATATATATATATATATATATATATATATTCTGCTATTCTAGGTAAACCCCCCGTAAAAGTGAAAAACTCCCTACATATTGTATAAATAGAAATACATGTATATATATATATATATATATATATATATATATATATATATATATATATATATATATATATATGTGTGTGTGTGTGTGTGTGTGTGTGTGTGTGTGTGTGTGTGTGTGTGTGTGTGTGTGTGTGTGTGTGCGTGTGCGTGTGCGTGTGAGTGTGAGTGTGCGTGTGCGTGTGCGTGTGAGTGTGTGTGTGTGTGTGTGTGTGTGTGTGGTGTGTGTGTGTGTGTGTGTGTGTGTGTGTGTGTGTGTGTGTGTGTGTGTGTGTGTGTGTGTGTGTGTGTGTGTGTGTGTGTGTGTGTGTGTGTGTGTGTGTGTGTGTGTGTGTTCAAAACGGCAGACGTCGAAACATAAGAAGGCAAAGAGCGGTGAATGTACGAGTATTTTTGTGCGAACGATCTTTATTTTAAACGGTAATGGTAAGTGAAAAGCCCGGAAGCATCGCTGTTTGCCGACGTTCAGAACAAAATGTCCTAGGTCAGAAAGTGCAGGGATTAGGAAAAGAAACGCAATGATCACATCAATGTTCTGAATACAAAGCGTGCGCTCAAACAAGTCAGACTGAATCATCCATGTGACTTATTTTACTATAATAAAGCAGGTCACAAGCGGGCCATAATGGTATCATGAAGGGGTCTGACTGCCAGTATCTGGATTATGCTAGCTAGTCCAGTGCACCAGCTTTGGCACATCCATGCATTACAGTTAGTGGGAAATGAGAACAAAGAGCATATTACTACATCACGGAGCTTCGCAGGGCAGAAGTCTTCTTTACAGGCCAGCAGGGGGCATGGGTGAACTCACCATCTATCTTAATGTCACCTATCCCACTGATATGGTGGATGCGGGGTAGGGGGAGGAATTTATGGCACCGCGTGACATTCGTCACGCCTTGTAGAATATATTCCACATTTGGTGAAAGGAAAGTAAGCATCAGATACGATGAAAAAAGCTCGCTTGTTGGTATGCTTTTAGGTGGTTTAGGCTACACCAGACAGCACACTTCCTCTTTTCACTAAATATGCCTCTTAAGACGTCATTATTTTGTTGCATCATCGTACGTTGGACAATAATCGCTGAACGTCAACTGACGGTCGCTATATCTGGAAAGCGTGCTCACGAACGCAAGACATGGACAACTCGACCACTATATGTTTCTCGGCCGTGACCGCCGCACGGGTTATGAAATAGCGGGGTTTGCGTATATTATTATGACGTCATGGATGTCAGGGTGGACTTGAAATGCTCCCCCCAGAAATACCCTCCCCGTTTTTGCGGGTGTGCAGCGCAGAATCTAGAGGGATTCAGGCCTTAAGAATGGCGGGGCTGTAAACTTTACCGATTGATCCTCAAGATGGCTATTTCAGTTCAAAACTCTATACAATGTGGAATACTCTTTTACTATGATAAAGAAGTTTCTGTTGTGAATAAGTAGACGATCTCTGCACCCACGTCATCTTTCTGCATACCATATGGTCATGAAAGACGGAGGACTAAATGCATCTCCAAATAAATTTTTCAGACTACCAAAGAATAGCTCAATATGCGAAAGTTTTGACGTTATTTACAAAAAGTTCATTCAAAACTCACAGCATGTCATCACAGCCCAACAAAACGTTCGCTTGTTTACTAGTTTCAACTCATTTAAGATAAGACAGCTGCAGGTACATTGACGGTATCTTGGACAGCCACAAATGTTCCAGTGGGTTAATCACAAACAGCTGTAATGCGTTTACTGAATCGCAGTATTTGGAACTTGAGAAGCATGCACTCCAACCATGACACAGCTGGTACGGCAAAAATCCCTGTCATTGTCTGCCATTTGTCTCCCGCAACACACCGTATTCCGAATCCAATGATCATCACCGTTTCAGGGACAAATCACCGCAGGGGTAATGCCCGTACCGGCCAACTCAAGGGCACGACATGACTTGACGGCGGTGGCTTACCCAGAAAGCCTGCATGATGTTGCGGCGGGACTGCTGCTGTGCGCTGCTCCCGCCGCCCGCCGAGCTCATCCCGGGTGGCCGGACGGCTCGGCTTATATAGGCCGGATCCAGCTCTGGTCAGGTTTCCCCAAGTGGCGAGACCACCGCCGCAAGAGGGCGACGTCACGCCAGTCCACTGGGGCTAGCGGGGGAGGCTACCAACCGACTGCGCAGCAAATTCGAAGAGCATTGCGAGCCCTTGTGCCCGCTCACCCGCGCCGCCCTTATGCGCCTCATGAAAGTCTTCTGGCTGGAGGGCGCAAGTGGTTGAGTGGCGGTAGGCGCAATCAGCTCGATCCCAAACGCGGGACAGCATAAGAAGCTCGCCTCCAGTTAGCACGCAATGTCTGTAACACACGTAATGACTAGCGCGAGCTTTGTGCCACTGGAGCCGGTAGGTTTCAGTGGAGCACTTTACGGATTCAATTTTCAGGATCCGGTCCAGTCCAGTCCGGCTAATCTAGATTCAATTCGCCCGACAATCCACTCTCCCAGATTTTGCAATCCAATCCGGTGTGGTCCGCCTTGCCAGACGAATGTAGTACATGAATTTGCGCCAATCCGCTCCTACATCAAGGCCTGTTAAAAAATTAGCAGGCAATTTGGTTGCGTATTTCCATTGGAAAAATATTTTTTTCATTTGATCCGAAATCTTTGATGAATGGATTTTTGGGATCAGCGCTCACGCTAAGCAGTGCTTGTTGTGTGAGCCCTCAGCCCCACCATCCGATCGCGCAATTCCAGGCAACAGCAGAATTTAGTGGCGAAAGCTTAACGTGCCGCAATGCTCGGCACGGTCCGTCCTGCCCTCTGACGGGAAGCGCGACCGCTGCCACCGGCCGCAGGTCAAACCTGCTAAGGGCATGTAGCGAGCGCCCTAAAGCGACTCGAACCCACCGTGCCACGGGTGGTTGGATCGGAAGGCAGGCGCTCCTACCAACTGAGCCACGGGGACGGACGAATAACATGCCACAAGCCAGTGTGTGTTAAGATACTGAACACAGCTAGTGGTCTGTTAAGAACGCCAGGTCTTGTGAAGATCAGAACAAACGAGGCCTATCATATTATCAACACGCGCCCGGCGAGAGGTCTGAAACAACCGCACCCGGCCGGGGCGGGGGGAGGGGGGGATTTGATGTCGTCCTGGGATCTCCAACTTCTAGGCACCGTGTGATAATAAAAATGCCGTTTAAAGAGTCTTGTAAAATCCTGAAGAACGCGCACCAAATTTTAGACCTGAGGTTAAATGTGAGGACTCTACAGGCCAGGAAAAGTTAAAAACGGTTGTTCCGATAGATGCAGTTAAAACCCGTGTTAACAAAAAGTCAAGACGAGGGTAAAGAGCACGGAAATGGATATGAAGATTGCAGGGAGTCCATTCCGACCATCCTTGTTCCAAAATGAATCAGTTTGGATCAGGTCACCGTTCAACACTGCTGTACCAGTAGCCTACAAGGCCGATACTTTTCTTCACATTGAGCTTCTCAACAAGTTTATTTTGTCAGATGCAGCTGTGGGGAAAGGTATTCCAGACACAAAAATGCCATTTTAGGGTGATCCAGAGGTCATCTGAGGTCATCTCAGGTCAAACTTACAACCAATTAAAAAAAAATTGAAATGCTTACAGGGTCTATGCGAGCAGTACAATGCTTTTCTGTGGTCATAAATAGTGCGTTGTGCATCTACAGGCACTCAAGATCTCTTTGCTGTTGTCCACATGATGTATAGTTCCTTTAACGCTTGACAATGCATGTGTAACAAAGTGAGAGGAGGTACGTTGGTGCTTGGAATGATGCGTCAGCAGTGTCACAAACACGATAAGGGAGTGGTTACACGTGTCGCACTCGCTCCTCTACCCTCTCCGCTGCTGGCAGCACAGGTCATTGACTTTGGATGACTTCATATGGCCTTGTAGTCGTCACGTGGCTTATTGTGACCTTACTACGCGCTTACTTAATATAACTTACTAGAATAACCATAATGTCAAAACGTGTTTTCATTGGAGCGTTCGGCTTCTGCGTGCAAAATTACCTCTTAAAAGCAGTTTGTTTTGAGTGCAGCATACGTATCGCAAAAGGTGCCCATAGAGAAAGGTAATGACGTGGTCCAAGGTTATGCTCTGTGGTCACATGGTTGTTGTGCATGTAAGTTAATACTTTTTTCATACGCAAACACCAAAACTGCACAAAATACGGTGCAGTATTACGTAGTGATACAGTAACATAAATGTCCATTATTTGCGAAAATTGTGAGATTGACATGGCTTCAGGTCACTGACGTCGCCATTTCCGAAACTATGAAACACACAAAACTGTTGACAACATCATGTTCTATCATTGCAACAAGTTTAACGATGGCACATAACCCAAATAAATGTGATGTGTGGTCGAAATTTCTGAGCAGTTGACCTCTTTGACCCAACTCAAGACATTGTTCATGATGGATCAAAATTTAAACTTTTACGAAGGATGTCAAAGTGACGGATGAACAAGTACTAAAAACTCCATACTGCTCCGGTCGTTCGTATTTGACCTGTGCTCAAAAAAACTTTGAGGAGGTTCACATCACCCCCTTCCCTCCCAGCCGGACGCAGGTTAATCGTATCACAGTTATTTTGGCAAATAATTCACAAGTACTACCACATGTAGGTGCCAAATTCGCTTCCGGTTTCAATATTCTAAAGGCATGGGCACCTTATCTGACATTTTCAGACTCCAGGTTGTGTGCAACATATCAACACATCCCACCAGACAGTTTTCGGCGGCACTCAGTTCACAAGCGCAGGACGACGCCCATCTAGTTCGCCCTCTGAATAACTAAAACGACCATCTTACCTCATATATGATGCTTGAGGTGTGTATTTATTCTCGGACACACCAGCTAATGAAACGATCTCGACTGCAACCATCATTTCCAGTTCGACCACAGGCTGCGTCATCACTGCAAGGCACGTGTGCAATTGTCCCCTATATGCGGTGCTTGCTCTTCCTTTCAGGGGAATGACACAGTTGTGTCGTTTTTATGTTGTTGCTAAAATACCAGAAGCTACATATCCTCTTTTTGCTCATATGGGATAAAACATGACAGATGTTTCTAGCTGTAATCGTACATCGCACAGCTGTACAGCTGTATGCAGTCACATTTACGCAGTAAAAAAATGTTCATGTATACTGACAATTACACGTAATCGTGTATCCGTTATTTTGTTTTGAACGAGCTAAGGGAGCTACCATAAATACCAGTAGATAGCGCAGCGTTTTAATCAGTGTGTAGCGTGTCTTGCGCGCGGAGAATGCCTTTGACACAACATAAAATCCCCCGCATTACTAAAACGTAGTGCGAGAGTTACGTACCAGTCGCCCATGATCCGAAACCTCCCATGACCGCTGACACTTTGACATCTCCTATACATACTAGCCACTTTCCAACGGCTCTGATAATCACACAAGCTACACCAAGCTTAGCAAATTTTCATTTCAGGTATGAAAGTGGGTGAACAAATAATTGTGAGGTCTTCGCTTTGCAGATACCAGGAAATTGATCAGTTGAAGGCAACATACTTAATTTCAAGCTGGTGTTAAATTCATGAATTTGGCTGACTAGCTAGGTCGACAGAGCCTTTAGTCTTGACATGGAGTTAATGCTTCTACTTTTCTCAAACAGGAGATTGTATTTTCACAAGCTGATGTGCCTTTTACTTAAAAAAACATGCTCCTGCTCTGTTTTTGGACTCTGAAATGCAATGTCACCTGAGGTTTAATGCCATTGCTGACAGAAGCAGGAGGAGGGGAAGCTATGTTTAGATAAGATGGGATAATAGATCAGTAGATATTTGAGCTACTTGGAAGGAATGGGAAAGCTAGTTTCCCATATCGGTGTACTTGGGTGTCACTTATATCAATTTGTCAGCGAAATTTTTTCATTAGACACTTTGTCCGCGAAATATGTGGCTGGGTTACGTTGGATGTGGCATGTTTGATCACTTCTTGGTATTGCAAGCACTAAACCGTATAGGTTTAAGGGCTCTTTTCTGAACTGATGTGCTTAGTGAGCATTTAAGTGGCTATTCATGAATAATTTACCTTTGATTGACTTTCATTCCGTTTAAGCCGCGTAAGCTGGCAAATCTGAAAATCCGGTCCGGTCCTAATCCATATTTTGGTGGAAATTTCCGCTCCGGTCGAATCTTGCCCGCGGATTGGTGGCCGATCCGTGGCTTAATCCAATCCATGAAGTGCTCTAGTTTCTAGGGGGGGTCAGTCGGTGGACGACAGCATTGGCCACCCCGCCGAGCAAGTCAAGGACGGTCAGCAGCTGCCATGGCCCGACGTCATAAACCACCGTCAGGGTCAACACCCCAGAAATTACACGTGACGTTTTTACACAGCCACGGCTTGACACGACGAACCACCGCCTCTTGCGAGTCCGTCTGCTGGAACGTCGGGTCCCGCTCCAACTCATGACGTGAATGTGACAGTAAATGAGGGACAGACGCGCACGCGTGCAGTGTGAGTCCACGGGCAAGCCTGCTGCAAGGCATGGGGGAAACTGGGCCGGAGCTGCGATTCAGGAGACCACACAGCGGCACTGTGCGGCAGCAAGCCAATCGAGATGTCGCAGAGCAGAGTGCAGCGACGTGCAGCGCGTGGAACTTCCCACTGGCATGGCCATCCGAGGAAGCGCTGTTTTCACTTGGGTGGCAGTCGCTGTGTATACCCCTGGGTACCGTCACGCCATGGACTGCCCGGCAACGACCGCATCGATTCCTGGTTCAGGGGCGTCGCTCTATCGAAGCGCCCGCATCGATGACGCATCCGCATCGTAGCTGCAAAACGGCGAGAGCTTAATGCTCGTGGACCTGTTGCTGATGGGCGTGAGGCGCCCCCTCCATAGACCGATCTGAACGAGCCGCGGTGAGGAATTTCCACCAGCCGCATACCGGCCACTGGTCTGGATCTGCGCGGTGTCTGCACGGGATCACCAATAACCAGTCTTGCCAATGTCAACATCACAGTAGCCTCATGCCGGGCGGGCCTCCTGCAGGCAGCCCGCGCAAGCCTGGAGGAAGCGAGCACCCCATGGCATGTTTTCCTTCGGTGTTCGGCCCACGTGGGTCTGAGACATCGCCTGCTCGGGAACATTTGCCCGAGCATGGAGGAAATGCTGAGCGACAGCGTGATAGCGGCCCTGGCCGTTGCGGCCAAATCACTTCAAATTACTTCGATTGCGCCGGACTGGGGGGAAAGAACATCAACGACTAGCACCCATCGTCATCACTAGCATCCTCATGCAGCGTTTTATCACGAGTCAGTCGGTCTGCCATCCCGAGTCGGCCCTGCTCTGACCGGCCTCACGCAGGCTTCAGTCCACGTTGCACACCAGGCGTCCCGTTGGTCCCGCTCTATCCCTGGCGGATCCTTTTCGCCTTGTATGGGCTATTGTCCACGTTATCTAACTCCAAGTCGACGTCCCTTCGTTCACTGTTCACAGGGTTTCCTGCATACCCTCCGGTTGCAACCAGCTGCTCGCTTAAATGCGTTACAGTGGTGCTAATGCAGCTCCAAGTTTCATCCAGCGTGCCCCTTCCACATTTCGTCACCCTTCCCCCAGTTCACAGCTGTTCTCTCGTTAGTTTCTTTCCATCATTGCTGCGGCACCGGCAGTGGGACGCCGTTCTCGTTCAAACTGTCCCGAGCCTCCGCCCGCCTGTCATGAAGGACAGCGCAGGTGAGTGGTCCCCATGAGCCCCGTAAGGAGCCCGTCGGCTGGCGGGGCTCACGGCCGACCCTCGTTGCAGCCCCTCTCCGGAGAACTCATGCGGTCCGCTGCACCCAGCTAAGTAGCAGGTAACCGGTTCCACCAGGCCATTGGCTTTTCCACAATTACATGAGTGTGTGACATCGCGTAACATCGCAGTCAGCGCAATGAGCCGCCACATTTACTTTTGACCTCGTTCCACTACGCCCCAAACCGGTGCAAAAACGATGCGAAGGCACGGCGCAGGAACAGCCTGGGCAGTCGGCACTGGCAAAACTGTAAACGGTTCAAAAATGTCCGGAAGCGTTCGGTGGGTTCCGTGTATAACGTAATGTTCTCGTATCTAGATATGTTACACTGGAATCCCTTTAAAAAGACCAGCAGCACCCGTCCGGAAATTCACAATAACACGGGCGCAATGCAAACGTCCTGGGAAGGGCAGTGCTGGCCTGCTGCCAGTAGAGGGGGAGCACGGTGGAAAGAGGTGGAGGGAGCGTACCTCGTGTGTTGATTAGGGAAATGTACCAGCGTGAAACGCACAAAGGAAACGTGGAGTGAACCAGTGAAAACCCAGACCAAGGTCTTCATCAATCTGCGTTTTCTTCCAAACGACATCCTTTGAAACAATCCCACTAAAAACCGTTGGCTATTTCCACCCAAATGACAACATTCATCTATCCTTGTTACAAGATTTGTTCAGCAGGATGGCGTACCCGCGATTGCTACTTGAAGCTGGTTGTTAAGTACATCATAAGTAGTCCACAACCTTGAGGGAATTTTAAACGTGTGGAAATACTTCCATCGTGCTGACAGCCGTGAAAATAATCGCACCTTTTTATATCTACATCTTAGCAACCAAGTCCTTAGTGCTCCTGAGCTAAGGTAAATGTCTGTATATGATGTTGAGATAACAAAGATGCCGCAAAACAGCGCACGATTGATAGACAAATGACGCATGATTGTACGAAAATAACTGAACGATAAGTGCTTCAAGTACCCATTCATCTCTTGTATCTGCATTGGAAGCAGACCAAGCCGCTTGCACAACCAACTTTTGCCAAAACCAGCGATTCCTTACATCATCTGCAAGTATGCACACTTGAATGCATATATATATATATGATTGATGATATAGATTGTACGGAAATAACTGAACGATAAGTGCTTCAAGTACCCATTCATCTCTTGTATCTGCATTGGAAGCAGACCAAGCCGCTTGCACAACCAACTTTTGCCAAAACCAGCGATTCCTTACATCATCTGCAAGTATGCACACTTGAATGCATATAGAGAGAGAGAGAGGGAGAGAGAGAGAGAGAGAGAGAGAGAGAGAGAGAGAGAGAGAGAGAGAGAGAGGGAGGAGGAGAGAGAGAGAGAGAGAGAGAGAGATAGAGGGAGAGAGAGAGAGAGAGAGAGAGAGAGGAGAGAGAGAGAGAGAGAAAGAGAGAGAGAGAGGAGAGAGAGAGAGAGAGAGAGAGAAGAGAGAGAGAGAGAGAAGAGAGCGGGTTTTCTTGGTCTTACTTTCGAGCGAATCGCCCGCTTCTAAACAAGTGCCCGGCTCTTTCCGTGCCTGTTGCCAGTACCCGGCCGCTCAAAATTTAAAGGGAATGTTCCACATTTGGAGACACTGAAGCACGTATCAGATGCGACGAAATAAGCAACTTATAACTGGTGGTAGACGTGTAAGTGGAAAAGACTGCTCTAGATAACACAACTTTCTCTGTAAGTAAATATGCTCTTCAACATGTCGTTGACTGATTGTGTCATGGAACGTTGCATGATGTTGAGATGCTGCCGAACTGGCCGTGCAAAATTGCCACCCTTGCACTCACTTGCAGTACTTCGAACTCGCTGAGAGGTGGCAGTTCAGTGCTGACAGTGTTTGCTGAGGCAAATATCACCATGTGCTGGTGTTTTGGTCCCCTGTCACGGTGATCTTGCGTATTTATCCGCGAGTTTTAGAAGTTTACTTGCAGTCAAAGACTTGGTTATGACCCTTTCCAAGTTATGCTTTTGTAAGTCTTATTTCCGCAATAAATAGTAATCACGTCCCACTTTCTATACAAGTCGTTATGCCACTTTTCTGTACAAAACAACTCATGTTCGAAACTTACGCAGACTGTCCGGTGCTTGTGAACTGCCGACGGGCGTTCAAAATGTTTTAAAATGGTGCTCAT